CTCTCCTGCAGGATCTCCCAGGCTGAGTCCGCCGTTTGCATTAGGAACCCCAGCTAAGAGTGATCCATTAACAGAATCCACTACCGTCCTTATATTAGACTGGTAGCATGGCGACAGATTTCTCTCTCTCTGATCCACAAGGGCGGCGACTGCCTATGGTGATAATGACCTGGGGCAGACTTTAGCTAGGCTAAGCTCGGGACTCCAAAGAAATACAGTGGCTAAACCAGCAAAATTCCGAAAAGTGTAGATTATGCTGGGACCTGCACAACCAGTGAAGATGGGTCGTTCAAGCAAGTAAGCATATAATATACATCTAGGGGGGCGTGCAGCACAGTGGTTGAAGGTGCCTTGCAATACAGAGTTGGTCGTTGGCTCGATCTCGCGATTCGGGCTCATCGAGCCTTTCATGTGTTTGGGGAGAGAGCAGATTAGTAGAAGATTTGTCTGGGAGGATTGCCGCACTAACTCCATATATCAATAGGCCACAGTGAGTCATTTTATAGACCAGATATGCATTCAATCACCTCTAATGGCGTTTCGTGAAGTTGAATGCATGGCGCAGCCCTTAGGGATTAGTTAACGTCGGTAGTTTAATTTTCTTATGTACAATTGGCATCATTTGCTAACTAAACAGCATTGAAACTCAAAAAAGCTTCTCGTTTTTAATTTTTTTGAGATACCTGAGATAGAGATACCTTTGAAATGCAACATAATTGAACATACACACAAATACATCAATAATTAGTACTAACTCACCTAAGTAAAACAATTTCGTCCTCTTTTCGCATCATTTCGAAAAGATCCAAATGATCTTGGAGGAGATACGACGCTTGAGGACGGATTAAGGAAAGGGCATTGGCCATTCCGAGCAAAAGAAACTCGCAGCGCAGGTGGACACGAAATTCGAGTGACGTCTGAAAGCGTCTTATTGTCATGGGACCGAATAGGAATTACAGAAAAGTTATGCTAAAGTTCGTTGCGCCACCAGCACGTACTGTAAGGTATTCGGCTAACGAATGTCTGAGAGCTTGATACGGAAAATAGCCGTTAAGAGTCATCCTGAACTCCTCAATACTATTAGTAATTTGATTTCTGGCGAATGATTTGAAAGGGGCTAAATGAAATTCATGGACACTGTTGGGCATAAGCGATAAATTTTCGATCCTCTATGTAGTATTTATCGTTTCTCGTCACATCGCTTTTGTAGAGAGTGACAATCGGGTCGATAGTATAAATTTAATGTCGGTGTTGATAAGATAGAAGCAATCTTTCCTGTAATCAAGCCAAGAAAAATCCAAATTCCGATTAAAAATAAACACCAACTGAAAGTGATGCTTAATTACAGTTGTTACTCGGACTGCAAACATTCAGATCCAATTATCTCGATGGTTTACCTTTTATTTCTTAGTCGACAGGAGAAGTGCTTTCCGGTGTCAAAGTGCGATGTACAATACAATAATCTTTTCAAACAAACTTACCGAAGCTTGGAAGGAATCCTTCAGTCCCATATTCTTATATTATCGTTGGGATTTTCAGCTAGTGATAGCGTACCCTACGATTTTGGAATAAACGGAGTATCAATATGGCAAACTTCTCCGCGACTCACAAATGAGGGCGGGTGTGGGACGCCGTGGCAAGGTGCGTTCGAGACTTTAGGAGAAACCTATTGCTGGCGAAATACAAGCTTAATGGAAAAAAGTAGGTGCGCTATCATCGTAAACACCATATCATCGTAACGTCGAAAAACATGCAATCGATTTTCATATCACACCATGAAACACGTATGACCTGAAGAGTTGCGCCAGTTGTTTCTCAGATCAACGTTCGCAAGAGAACGGTGGCATAAAGCGATCTTGAAGTAACCTGTTATTAAAAAAAACTGTAAGAGCTTAGAAGAATCCTAGTGTTTAAGGGCATTACATTTTAGTGCTATGCTTCCTAGGACAATTTCATACCACGCGACGGCTACTTTGACGGGCTACATCTGCTCCCAACAGCGTATAATGACTCTCGATGGCCTTCACGCGTCGAGCGAATCAGGCAGAACATATCGCTAATGGAAGCAGAATAAATGCGGTTTGTTTTCTACATAAGTTTACTGGTTAAACAGAACTGAATGGATCGACGTATTGTGAGCGAAACGAGACGAATTGACGTTCCTCGAACAACATTGGGTTTTAAATGAATACAACGAAAACGAGACATTTAGGGGAAAATCAGAGAAACAGGTCCTCGTTGCTAGCGTGGTTTTCTACCATCAATCAAACAGCATAAAAAGTTTAAAAATAGAAAAAGATACTGCTTTCAATGGATTTTTAGCCTAGAAGACTGCTACCGATAGGATTCCAACAATAAAATGCTTCTATTGAAAAAATCACTTAAATGATAGAACGATAAAGCTCTTGGCGTTGATCAATCACTAAGGGTTGAGTCAAGCATTCGACTTCACTAAGCATCATATGGAGGTGACTGGATGCGTAACTGGCCTTTATAATGACTCTCGATGGCCTGCCAATGTATCGAGCCAGTGCTACTATCCTCCCAGACAAGTCTGGTACAATTTGCCCACCCCGGAGGGGTGGTAAGCTTGGCGGGCCATGGGCGCGGAATCGGTTCCACGTGTGTCCTGCAGGACCCCTCTGACCACTGCGCCACACCAGCCCTAAGAGCAAGTCACTTAGAACTAAAAATTATGCGATGAACATAAATACGGAATGCTTCTTGAATACAACCGCAATGATGTAGAGATCTTTGCAAAACTCAAATCTCAAATTACGCTTAGAATAGGTGACCCACTTTTGCGGACTTTGTAATTTACAAAAGAAACTGTTTCAGAACAAGTTTGCTAGCTAATCCAAAGAAATTGCCGCTGCTGAGAAGGGTATTAAAATATCTCTAACGTCCAGATTATCATCGATAAAATAGGTACCAAAATGTCTCCGATGCACAAACAGAAGTTCATGGTTCACGAGTTTCACGGATATTGACTGTTTTTTGTATTGATAGATAGAGTAACGTGGTCCTATGAATGAGTAGGGGTAATACGCTCTTTGGTAAGGGAAAAATGAACTGCTTGAGTCTTATATGACTCGTACAATGAAGAATTAGAAAAGGACTTCTACTTGGTCACCAACAATGTTATTTCTGGTCGCAAATGTGTCCCAACTTTCCTGAGGAAATTATCCAGACGCCTCTATATCCGAAATTTTGATTTATAGGTATACTAGAAAGTAATTTGGAGGAAATTTCCGCCTTCCATCACACCACAAAAATGACGTAAGTACACCTAGAAAAGCGCTTGATTAATCTCTCTCAACATACACATGGTACACGAAAACGCTTCTTGATGTTATAGTGCAGTCTGATCTGCATGATTCATCTATCTTTTATACACTCTATTTGATTTTCAATAATAAAAAAAACCAATTCAGTGAATAATTGAAGAAAACAAAGAAGGAGATGAAGTCCACCTCAGCATGGCCTGTCCTCAGCAATGCGTTGATGAGCCCAAGAATTGTTATTCGTGCACGATCAGTTTCCTTGTCAGACTGATATCTGTAATCTTTTGTTTTTAGCCCATGCCCATCTACCTTAAGTCGTTTTTGGATAAAGGTCACCTATTTAGGAATCAATTTAGAATCTGCCTTCCCAAAAACTTACACCGTTTCAGACGGGCCCGTATTTCGTTACCCATCGCGGGAGAAGATCAAATCAATTACAGAACAATGGAACCCAGAAGGCATAGTCAAAACACTGTGCAAAAAACGAAACGTCTTTAGGGAGGCATTCAGAGTATGTACTGCAGAAGAATGCATAAAGTTTAGACAAATCGGAAGAAATGGTGGCGAATTTCGGAAGAAATGTGTTGTTTATAACAGAATCCCCACTTTCTGTGCAAATCGTTGACGAGGATCTGGAATCGCGTTCTTTCGCCTAGCAGCGGGGATACCTAGAAAAAAGTATAAGCTCAAATAAATCTCATAGAAATGATCAAAAGAAGGCGTATTAAGAGAACCCGCGTCAAAGCAGTCAACACTTGCTGATGACCGTCTTCAGGCACGAAACAAAGACCTGAGAGGATTTCAACAGCTAAGATCTGAAAATTTGCAGATCATTGAAAAATATCGTCTCTACACACAGAATGATCGCCGTGTGATTTTTTTTTCTTGAAGAAAGAAGGCACCTTGCACTTGCAGTCCCGTAAATCAATTCCTCTGGCGATTACCAGTAATGCTTCTTGGTCCTGCAATACCGCCACGCGCCCTTTCTGAAAGAAGCGGATCAGCATGTACTATTGGTAGGACCAACTTCGCCTTTACGAGGTAAATAAAATTCCACATCATTATTATTACATTATGTTGAACATACTTATATGTATATATAATATACAGGTAACCGCTTTCCAACATTAAAAAAACATAAGTTAAAGAATTTCCTCCTAGCGGTCTACCACCTCATCGTGGCTGGGAGGTGTTCGTGGGTGTTGGGATGCGATGTTTAGCGAGAGGCTCATCTCTGAAGCAGGTTCTTTCAAACTGAGAAAGAGTCCCACGTTTCCATCTGGAAGCCTGGCTAGGTATAACCCAACATGAAAATGGTTGCATGGTGGCAAATCTCCCTCTGATCCATAACGACCTTAACCGTTTGTAGTGATGACGTCCTGAGGAAGACCTCTACTACGGTGACTTCGAGATTCCAAAAGGTGCAACAATAGCTAAGCCAGCAAATCTCAAAAAAGTGGAAAGGGACCCGCACAATCACTGAAGACGGGCCACTCAAGTACTAGGTAAGTAGTGAGTTGAAGAATTTTCAGAAAAGTATTAGTTTATGAACACGATACAAAATTCTAAACTTGAAATATATACGAACACAGAATAAAGATGTCTAAATTGTAAATAAAATGTTGAGAACAGCAATGAGCTTCTGACTTTCACGATCTTTTTCGGAACGTGATGTGCGTTTTGCGCGGAATCGTAGCCGGTGAAAGGGTCAGCATTTATGAATTGCAAATCAGAGGGTGGTTGAGTGGGTGGTTCTAAGAGTGAGCTTGTTACGTGCATTCATTCTTGTTTATATCCACTTATCGAGTCATATATCATATTACAGTCGATAGCGGCACCTTTGAATTCACACAACGAGAGCTTGCTGCAGTGAGAATCGCCTGATAGATTGGGTTTGGGTTTCAAGCAGTACCCGATATTGATAGCGATAAGCCGCATTCAGGCAAATTCGGTGAAGGAAACGCTGAAGAGTGTTTGTGGAATCAGGCTTGAGTTGACGTTATGAACGATGAATATCTGGCGCTATATGCATTATCCAGTATGTGACATGATTGAGGACACTGTTATTGCTTGAACAGAAAAAGTAGACGAACCTTTGAATTGAGGAGCGCTCGAAATGCGCCAAGAAGAAAGAGCACCTGTTGTTCGCGACCGACACTAAGCTGACAGCATAAAAGCAGTGTGGAGAGTAGACGAACGCCCTCCAACGACACGAACTGCTCGATAAAACTTAAATGCAACAACTCAGGTCACAAGTGCTAGTAGCATGCGACAAATGAAGTGGATGGTTCTGATGAGATTTAGCTCCATTCGGGGTTCACGTTAATCGTTGCTAATTGTCAGTGCCTATGTTATATTGGTGTACTGTAGGTCAGCACGCGAGCGATATGCATAAACATCGTGCAATATGTTTGGCCGAACTGGGAAATGACTTGGTAGTGTGGGATGGTAATGTCCGAATGAACGAAAAGTAAACGAACGCTCGAAACAATATAATATAAAATCGAAGGCGATGATTGCCATGTTGATGAATCTGGTTCCATAGGGATTACGAAGAAAGCGCGTGGTGCAGTGGTAGAACTATCTCCACAGATTATTCACAATCATAGTTTTTTTCCTACACAAATGTATGCATCAGTTCAAAAAAACATAGAGCCGAGTATTGAGATTTGCATGCTTGAATTCCTTTCTACTGAAAACTACAAGCATTAAAATCGAAGCTTAGATATCTCCAAGGCATTTCAGAAGTTACATAGCTAGTTTCTAATATTTTAATAGGTGTGGTTAGCCATTTTGCGAAAAATAATGAACCGGAGTGTTTAAATGTGTCCGAAATTTTCAAAGAATGATACGAGAGTACCTAGAGCGTTGGGTTCGTAGTGTGGTGACGATGTCTTGCAGAGTGCTAACTGGAGGTGCTATCAGTTCTGGAGTTTCGCATTCGAATGTTCTCAGCAAGTCTATCAATTTGCCACAATCTTCTTCAGCACGAAACTAGAAAAGAAGAAAACAAAGTAAAAGATTAGGATGGAATTATGAGTAGAAATTGGATGTAGAAGAAATCAAATGCGTCAGCAGAATAAATTGATGCGTGAGAGTTCAGTATAAGTCATAATTACCGGTTTTTGCTAGCACTGACGGCTTACACGAACAAGAACATGTGCTTATAATTATCTTCCCTTAGCGGGTTTTTATCTATCATATGTGTACCCACTGATGCTCAACAGTCAATTTGTCAACGACAGCTTAAATTGACATATTTTTTCTGAGGCCGCTAGCACCACCTAAATGGTTTTGGTAGCAGCTAACTGCTCTTAGTGTCTAGGATAACAGTAGTGCTTTTCAGAATTTGTGCAATCGTGACTTCCCCTTGCTCTACTGAATGCAAGGCATCGCAAAGAGCGGTCTCGTTATCTGCATATGATTATAGGAACTTTTTCATACATCTAGCCATGATGCTTAGCGTGCTAACCAGGATCATCAGTGTTGAACTTGTTTTCTGCATTTGGCTAACATTTGAAGAGTGCAAGAATGAATGCATGAATGAATGGAAAGAAACTTGGATGAGAGAGGGAAGGAGGGAGAAACAGAAAGTGAATGACACGGTAATGAAGCAAAGGGAGAGCAGATCGTCAAACAGAGGCGGCTACCCATTCCGATTTATTACCCTCAACGAACAGAAACCTTTACTCCAATGCGCTATTCCCTCATGAAGTGTGACCCCGCAACCGATAGACAACAAAACCTTTCGAATGAGTACCACGCGAAAAATTCTAACTTTGTGGATGGTTAAAAACCCCTACTCCGTTTAATTTTCATTAATTACTAATCGATGTGTGGAGCGCGCAGCGCCATGGTTAGAAGTGACCTCTAGTACACAAGTGGCCGTTGGTTCGACACCGTATTCCGTGTTCACCGCGTCTTCCATGGTTCCATGAGGTCGAATGCATGGCACATTCGAATAACGCCGAATGGAATTTTTTAACGCTTTTTACCGATCGTGTGTGAAACTAAATAAATATCGTTCAATAAGTCAGCTGTACGAATATCCAAGTGAATACGAGTCGGTTGCCAGCGCAATGCTCAATGTGAAATATAACAACAAAGATGCTGAGATATAAGCAAAACTTGGGACCTCAAGTGCGCTTCGAACCCGTGATTACCAATTCCGGTGGCTCACGTGTTATCCACCTCTCCAACCGAAGGCCTTGGTCTCTCTCTCCCTCTCACTAGTTTGTTACAGTAATGATGCTATCAGTAGGAATCTGTCAACGAGGATGATCTGGACAGCACGAATCAGCATTGAATCCAGTTAAGGTGAAGCTGCATAAAGCAACATGCTTGTGGTTTTACTTCACATAATACCCTGCCGTAAAAAAAATTGGCACTAAATACTCGTTAAAACAGATTAATGTTCCAGGAGTGGAAACGTTAGTTCATAAAGATATCATAAGGATTCCGTGACAAAAATGATCTGTGTAGTTTTCACCTTTTCTTCACACAGCAATGGGTGATCAGATATATCAACTCATTAACATGACCAGATAACTTTCCTCTACGGACTTTCAGATTGAGATACGAATAATAGCCTGGCGTTGCGCAAGCTTCGAGATATCACGGCAGTGGTTGTGAAAGGACATTCATACATTGAATTCATGCACCCAGCAAGATCAAAAAACGTACAGACTGCGTATTCAGCATGGTGAGCTTCTTCTCTCGTGAGTACATCTTCAGGTCTGCCTGTCGTTCTTCGCTTAAGCCGCATTCTTCCTGTAGTTTGTAATCCTTCATTAAATGTTTAGTGTCATTCCGAAAACTAAACTTTACCACAAGATTCTCAAACTCCTTCTCTAACTTTCCATCATCCAGTAGATCCAACGGATCGAGATAGCACAGCGAATGGTGAGGATTTCCTTTCGCAGTTTCGTTGTTCTTTCCTCTGTTAAAGCAGGTGAATATGCTTTCCATGCACTCCTCAATGAAATCCATGCGCAAATTGGATGATTGCTGGAAGAATTATCCCGAATACTGTAAGGAGTAAATAATTATTAATGATTTACGCAATGAACTGGTGCTGAATGCTACTGGACAACGAAAAGTTGAAATAAATCAGAGGACAGAACACGTTGCAAAGTAAAATGCATATTAAAACTGCATTTAAAGTAGAATAACTGAATAGCCAACAGATCCTGTTCTACAAAGTAACGTTAAGCTTGTGGGTTTTCTGGATCACTTATTTCCCGTTTGTAGGATACGTCGCCTCTCTATCAACCTGAATGCTTCTGAAGGTAGGCAAACATCCACTTTTATAAAAACACTTGTAAGTGCCAAAATCAGTCTTATATTTCACAGACTTTTTCATACGCCTAGTTGAATATGAAAATTCTTAAAGCTACAGTCAATAAAGGAAAAACAAACTGCTGATTTTAGTCATTCCAGAGCCCAGAGTTTGTCGCACAAGCTGCATAGGATTCTTTTCAACCTGCATTTCAACTTATAACACGAAATTTCTTCTATTTTACTCCACATCTTGAGGCCAAGAATTTAGAAACAAAGCAAAGAAAATAGACATAATTAATGCTTTCTGCTGCCTTTTGTTAACAGTGTCATAAATCAAATGCCCAAACCTCGTTCAACCCAAGTAGTCAACTCCAGAAACCACTCAGTGCAGTGCGTGAAGTGCATTTTATCGATTGCTTTATTTTACAATGAATTTTCTTCCTCGTGGTATTCGGCATTGGCAGAGTGGCCGCCTCTCCCGACTCATCCCGAGTTTTATTGTTAAATAAATAAAGGATAAAGCTTTCGGCGTTGATCACCAATTTGCTGAACGCGGGAAGATGGAAGGCTTGGAGGGCCATGGGCCCAGGGATCGATTCCACGTGTGTGTTGCAGGGTGCCTCCGACCACTGCACCACACGCGCCTCTTGTCAAATAAATAAAGCTCGAATAATATCTACATAAAGAAAGAACTTCATAGAGATAAGTGAAAGAGTCAAAACTGAACGTCGACTAAATCTTGACTGCTAAGAACATTATCAAAGATTTCCAAAGACTTCTTTTTCAAAAAAATCCGATTTGAAGAGCAATCAGATATAGAGGTAACAGGGTGAAACAATTTATACGGCCAACACCATGGGTTATATGGATAATCTGCGGCAACATTTCATTCTTTCTGCTTTGCATCACATCTTAAAAGAATAATGCTCCTAACGTTGGTCAATCCCTGGGAAATGCGCTGCATTCAACTTCATCAAGCGTCTTTAGTGGTGATTGAATGCATATCTGGAGAACACAATGACTTGCGGTGGTCTAACGATATGTCGAGTCAGTGCTGCTATCCTCGTAGAGAGATATGGTATCAATTTGCCGACCCCAGAGGAATGGAAGATTTGGTGAGCCTGGTGATCGATCCCATGTGCGCAGGGCGCCTCTAAGCACTGCTCTACACGGTCTCCTATCGTATTTTACACTGCATTAATATTTTGTTTCCAATTTCTATTTACGCTAAAATCTCTGCTTGTTAACTTTTTAGACGCTTTTTCTTGCTTTATATCACTACCACTCGTTTATAGCCACTTGCCACACAATTTACATCAATAAATCCTTGAAACATCGATATTGCCATCGCAAGCAATTGGAATGAAATAGACTACACTTAGCTGAAGAAAGCAAATTACTAGTAATCAGGCAAGTAAATGTTCCCAAGATCGACTTTCTATTAACCTCGGCAATGGATTATAAATCTGTTGTTCTCTTCTTTACAGCAATCAGCAGCGAGGTTGCTATTCAGCACACCTTTACTTCCATACAAATATAACATACAACAGAACGATGCTGATGTTCCGGCAGTATCGCTTTCTTCAGAGTCGGGAAGGATACATTAATATGTAATTTACTACGTCAAACGCTTCAACAACGCAAACAGAAAGATGGAAATCTGAACAATAATTACACGATCACCGGCTTCTCGAAAAATCCACCGCTTTTTACTTGTCTTCCACAAATGAAGAACAGCCGCTTAAAGTCGTATATAATTGATTGCTGCACCACCCCACATCAAAATTCAGTTCTGAGATACGGGGCTAGATCACGCGTTATCTTCCCCGCTATTCATTCTCGGATTTTTCGAACTTATCCAAAAAGCGTCGAAAAATCAGTGTTTTAGTCTCCCGTGAGATGACAGCGACTCTTACATCGAAGTCTTCTCCGTTATGTTTTTGCATCCTATGCGTGCCTAGTGGCGTGCCTTGTTTTGATTTTCGTTTGCCATCTAGGTGTTCTTTTATGCGGATACATAAAGGTCTACCCGTTTCACCGATATGTTCATCTTCGCAATTATTACAAGAGATCAGGTATATCGTACCTGAACTCATGCTGTCACCGTCTCAGCCGTAAAGACAAATTACGCAATTTGATATTTCGCATAAACGGTCATACAGGCGGTTACGAACTAGCTGACGACGTAGAGTAGCCGGTGGTATTTCAACTCTCGCTAGCGATTTCTCTAGATTTGCTCTTTTTAAGCATCGCTTTATCGCTACACTTATTTAAACGCTAATGAAGGGCAAGATGAACGGGATTTAGCTTCGACCAAGCCCTTCGTTTTGGGACGTCGTTCTCCTTCCAAACTTATCTCGTGGAGTTACTATTTCATAGCCATTTGAGATGGCTATTTCTCTAGCCAAGTCGCGCGATTCTTCTTTTAATTCCCTACTTGTGCACACAGAGGTGGCTGTTCGAAACATGTTTCTCACAAGCGCCCTCTTTATGTGTGAAGGGTGGGAAGAAAGGAAAGGAACGAGGGTGTTTTTATTACTTGGTTTTCAGTACCATTTTGACACGTAACTGCGACACGGTTTATTTCAACGTTTAGAAACGGAAGCCAGTTTTTTTTCGGTTTTTTCTAGATGAACTTAATGTACTCAGAATGCTCATCCAATAATTCAAAACATTTGTCCATTTCCTCCTGCGTAGAGAAGACGATAAAACAATCACCTATATACCTGCAGTAGAATAGTGGCCGGAGATCGAGAACAGGGGCTTCTTTCTTAGACATAAACACATTGGCAAGGCTTGGTGCCAGTTGCTGTACCATTGCCAACCCACTTATTTGCGCGAAATATTTCCCAGACCATCTGAAAATCGAGCAGTTTAGGCACCCCTTTAAGAGAGCCATTAGCTGCTGGATAGACAAGCTATCTATATTCATTCTTCCTTCATGTCCAACGAGAAGCTCGAAGATAGCTTTCATTGCGAAGCCATTCGATACGTTGGTGCACAACGCGGTCACGTCGAAACACCCCATCAAATACTACCGGATACCATGAAATACTACCGGTTACTTTACGTCGTCAGTTAGTTCGTAACCGCCTGTATGACCGTTTATGTGAATCATCAAATTGCGTAATTTGGCCTTATGGCTGAGATGGTGACAGCATGAATTCAGGTACGATATACCTGATCTCTTGTAATAATTGCGAAGATGAACATATCGGCGAAACGGGCAGACCTTTATGTATCCGCATAAAAGAACACCTAGATGGCAAACGAAAATCAAAACAAGGCACGCCACTAGGCACGCATAGGATGCAAAAACATAACGGAGAAGACTTCGATGTAAGAGTCGCTGTCATCGCACGGGAGACTAAAACACCAACGACTGATTTTTCGAGGATTTATGGATAAGTTTGAAAAATCCGAAAATGAATAGCAGAGAGATAACGCGTGATCTAGCCCCGTATCTCAGAACTGAATTTTGATGTGGGGTGGTGCAGCAATCAACTATATACGACTTTAAGCGGCTGTTCTTCTTCGGTGGAAAACGGATAAAAACGGTGGGTTTTTCGAGAGGTGGTGATCATGTAATTATTGTTCAGATTTCCACTTTTCTGTTTACGCTTTCGAAGGTTTTGACCTAGTAAATTACAAATCAGTGTAGCCTTCGAGGCTCTGAAGAAGAGGATACTGCCGAAACATCAGCTACCGTTGTGCTGTATGTGTTATATTTGTGAGAAATTAAACATGTACTGTATCACAACCTACGAAAATCGGGGTACTCATGGATTTGGCTGTGGAGCCGTTAAGGACGGCGCGATGAATTGTTGAAAAGTTGCATAGCAGCGTGATCGCCCCCATAAAGCCGGCCTTCTGGTTGGACTTTACGCCGTCGTCTAGTCTAAATCCCGGATTGGAAGAGATTCGTCGGAAAATAAAGTGGCCGTCTTGCAACCACTCCCTCTTATTTTCCATATGAATCCAGCTTCGCTAAACTTGATTTGTGGCCTTATATCTTTCTTACTGCAGGCCTTAAACTATAGCTTTGCTAGTTACGATCCAGAAATGGTAATAGATACTCCTGTCAAAGATAGATAAAGATGAATCGCAAGTGTAGACCTTTTAAAAGGTTTTTTTTTCAAACAAACCCGTTAATATCGTGACCAGCCAGTGAGATTCTCGATGATTGAATTAATTATTATTGGTTCCTAGTGTAAATAAGAACTATATCATTTTTTATTTACTGCCTATTTCTTTGATGGCATGGTACGATGTGAAACACAACCACAATGATACCGAGATATTTGCAGAATTCCGGACCGCAGGTGTCTGTGGCGGGGATCGAACCTCGTTATTGTGAGGAGCACTTTAGCCTCCAAAAAGTTTGATAGCGAGGTCGAATATTCTGTGTTGAAACTGTATTTAAGCGCTAGGACACTTTCAGAGCTCAATTCGCATGAAGGATCACATAGTATATGAAGCTTTATAGTGATTCTTTAACGGCTCGCATTTAAAAGAGGAGTTCACTACAACTTGAATCCAGGTGAAATCTCGCGGCAGCTTTGTTAGAAAGAGAAAATATAGAACCCGAAATTCCGTATCATCACCCAACTTTCGCTGCGCAGAAAGAAATCAAACTGATGCAATGAATGTGGAACATACCTCATAACAAAGAGGAATTCGCCCTCATACTCATTCCTCATTTTACTTCT